GGACATGTTATCTGAGAGAATAGAAGAATCTAGCAAAATTAATGTTTGAACAAGCAAAAATTTGTGGATAGCTTTCTTACAGCTGAGAACTGGCTCAAAGCTTGCCACTTTGCAAAATTAAAACAAGCAGGCATATATTACGAGTTTTTGGCTGCCTTTTCATCACATTAAATTTTCTTTTGGAAACATTTTTCTTCTATTTTGTTTTAAAATAAACATGGTGTTGTTTAAACAAAGTAAAAATAGCTTGAAAGCCCTTCCCCCCCTCCCCCAATAATGACATACTTAATGCCGATTACATTGGGTCTGTACTCTCCATATTTCTTCAGAAGAGTTTTATGTCCACTGATCGGTGAGGCCTGTTAAGACTTTTTTTTCATTATATTATTCACCCTTCAGTGAGTTCTATACTCAAATACCATTCCTCTTAGCATTTGGGATACAGTCCACAAAGACTCAGTCCTAGCTTCTGCCTCCTCTTTTTCTTTGCTGGAGTTTCCCCTCGCACTGAACTTTGTGGCTTGTGGTCTTCCCCAGGTATAACATCTCATGTTCCTGGGACTCCACACTCCACTGCATTTCTGTACCTTGTATCCAATGGAGTTTTCTAATTTACTTAAGGGAAATTAATTCTTTCATGCCTTGGGTTGCCATCCTGTCTCTTCTCTTACTGGAAAGCAAACATATGTCTATATCAGAAGCACACAGAGCAATCAATGCTACTTTGACTAAACACTACACCCTCGAGGCAGTCTTGTTCTCACCAGCTAGCAAAATTCTCTGCAAAAATAAAACCACATTACGGTATTGGATCACCTATCCTTGGATTTGAACTGGGATTTTCAAGAAAAAGTAAGGGATATTAGAAACTGGAACCAATGCAAAGAGGTATGACTGCTACGGAATAAAGTAAATAAAATAGAGGAAGTGTACACTGGCACTACAGCCACAATGAGAGAAGGGAACAGGGAGAAAAAGCTAAGAGGCAATGGTAGAATCATGCAAAACACCGATCTCTGCAAAAGCCACCACCCAGCTGTACCTGGCAAGCTCCCCCTCTTCAGCTCTAGCCAGTGGCTTAAGACACAATTACAAGACACCATGACAGACCTAAGGAAAAACAACTTAATTCTTAACTCTCGATTCCTTACGCACAAAGAATTCTGAAGCAAATATGCAATGGCTCTGTAACAATTCCTCAGACAAAAAGTTCTCACCAAATTTCAGGACTATATAAAATTGGAGAAATTATGTTGAGTACCAACTCCAACACCTGGATAAAATTTACAGTGTCACATCTGAAACCAAGGAAAAAATCTGTTCCCAAACTTACTAGAAAGACTTTTTCTTGTTGTTCTGATAATCAGAAGCAAATACAACCTCAGAAATATGCAGCTCTGGAACCTGAACTCCTGTACGAGTTGTATTAGGTTTTCTTCCCATTTTTTCATATTCATACACACTCAGGTCTCTAATGATATGCATTTCAATAGTTTGGCTATTAATAATTTCCTTAAGGAAATTAAAGATGTTTGTGGATTTGAAGATCTGAACATGAAAAAAATCTGTTATTCATTAAGTAATATAATTAACCTCCTTCATCCCCAACTGTGTATCTATATAAACACAGAAATATATGAACATATTTATGCACACACCCCCTTATTTTGTACTAATTGAATAACCCCCCCCCCCATGTTGATGCTACATATGATCAAGAAGCAAATGACAAAGAGAAGAAAGAAGAAACACAGGCTGGCATTCATACTGAATGGCATTTAAAAAACAAGAATCACATTCCAGTTGAATGCCTCTTTTAGCCCCATTCCAAGTACTGCTATTTAGAATCAACTCTACAAAAATGCTGTTCAAAAAAGAAGCTTTTGACTAGAAGTCCAAAATAATTCTGAGTAAGTTAACACCATCAGGTTTTATCTATACACATGTATATGCACACAGAGTCTTTATCCAGTGTCAGTGAATGACATTTTAACATTTAATTGCTCAAAGAGCATGCTTGATACTTCAGAAAATGACATATAAAATCCTCATGTGTAAGTCTATCAAACCAGATGATTGCTTACAATTTTGATATCACAGTGATCCAACTGGTTAAAGAGACAATACAGTTAATGCTTCAAAACAATAGCCAATTTCCTTTAAGTTGTTTTTAGTCAGCGACTGTAAAAACAGTCATAAAACTAGTATATTTCATAGAATAAAAAAACAAAATAGAGGTAAAGTTTCTGCAGTTTCCTCTACAGCAATCATCTAGATTTTTTTTGTTTCGTTTTTATTGGTATGGTTCCCACCAAAAGCAAGTGATCTTAATGAACTGCAGAAAATACTGATTTTGTGATATAAGAATCTGGCTTAAAATTATCTGCTAGGGTTTTTTTGTAGAAAGGCTTTCAGAAGCACAGTTAATGCGTATGTGTTCCATTTATGAAGTGTGCAGAGTTGTTCATGGCAAGAAATAATCCGCTCTAGACAGTAAGAATTTATGTTCCAAATCAAACCACTCCAGACTGTTCCTTTCTCCTCGCTCTAAGACACTACTGAATAGCACAGCTGTTACAAACATGATATTCAAATCCAAGAATTCATCAAACATCTATTTCTCTGCCATATTTTTGCTGGTACTAAAACACATATAATGCTTTCACACCCTCTGCTAAAACTATACTGCAAAATCCACCAACAAATCTTCACTGTTTCTTAAAAGTCTTAAACCCCAGTCTTTGACATCTCTGAAAAACTCCAGTTCAATATTAATCTAGTAGTCACTACAGTGTAGTAGTTTCATTATTATTAAAATCATGACTGTTCTCAAAACTCACAGTAATTTTTTCATTAAGGTTTACGAGGGATGCTTTTACACAATAAAAACATCTCAACTAAACAGACAAGCAGACAATTTGAGTATTTTTCTTTTCTTCGTGCCTTCAATCAGTTTGTTATTCTAGGCAGAAAAATCTTTTCAACAAAAGCTTCTTTCCACTACCTTTAAAGCCATGTAATTAAAAACTTTCTGGCATTCTGAGAGGAAAAAGTTCAGAACTACTTAAAGCCACCTTCTGATTTCTTCATGGCAGCTGTCTCAAGCAGAATTTTTAGTCAAGCCACTTCCTACGTACAGCAATGGTGCACAACGAAAATGAAGGTCTTATAATAATAAAATAGAATTAAAAAAAACAGCGTTCACGTCTGTTGACTCAAGCTTGGCAACACAACAGCATTAAACAGAAAGCCGTTTATCACAACTCACTTCCCCCTTGAGCCATCTCTTATGAACAATACAATTGCTTCAAACCTCCTTCCACATCCAAATTAGTTAACTGCTCCACAATATTTATACTGACTCTACCAGGATTTGATATCCAGCTGACTCTACAGACCAGAAGCTGAATTTTTCTTAGGACAACTACATGCACAAAGCAACACAGAGGAGAAAAAATTCTTCTCTTCTCCAATTGCAGAACAAAACAGCTTTCCCTTGCATTTCTATCACGACTTCTCAGACGTGGCTATTCCCTGTGCTTTCCAAGAGTTCTCAAAGTCAGGATAATCTTTTACAAATATCTCCAAATACTAAGAAATGTAGATGATCGCTTTGCTATCACTTGCCATTTTCCATCTACAGATTAAATTCCAGACCTCAGTATGGAAAGAGCATAAAGACACAAAAAACAACCCCAAAATCTAAGCCTATGGGTATTAAAAACTTCACAGGCTTGGACCACCTAATATTTTACCTTTTACAGAAATTGGTACTAGAAGGAGGACTTCTTAAAGAAAACAGACGCTAAGGGGTTTCATCACGGATTTTTAAACATATTTTGTCTTAATTTTAATTTGTCATTGCTTCTGACAAAAACTCACCTTCTTTCTGTCGTTACTGCAATATGAATTTGCAGCTTGGTTTTTCAAAGTGGGGTTGGAACATGGTTACATGTCTTACTAATAAAGTGATAGTTCATAGTATTTGGTAGCTAGAAGGTTTTTTATTTATACTATTATGAGTAAAGCTCACAAAAATGCCACATACTGTTGCTGTTAAAACAAATTACCAGTTCTTGGAGGAAGCTAAGGCTACAGAAAACAAAGCAATTATGCTCCTCTTTGTTTAGGAAGAGTTAAGAATATTCAAAATATCTTTTCTTTGGTCCATCACAACACAAAAAAAGGTGGGGAAAAAAACCCAAAAATAACAGATATCTTGCTAGAATTTGTCCTATGCCCAGCCATCAAGAGGAAGTCATAGTTCTGTCCTGCACCACAAGCAAATATAAATAGCCCCAAACTAACAGCTGCTGCAGCACGTGATCATCAGAATGTACAAGACAAGTTTGTGAAGGCAGACTTCCTGAGTTGAATTCTGGCCTCAACTCTCTTCCCTCAAGGTGATGCAGGGCATTGTTATGCAAATTCAAGGTCAGTCCCAAAGCTGAGCAACCTCCATCATGTTAATTCTGCATCCTACTTCTTACACATAGAAGATACTATTTTGTAAACTTAAAAAGCTCACACTCCTTCCACAGAAGTAAAGCTAAGGCTGTATCATTATAAAGTTAAGTACATACAAATGTACAGGCTTTTACAGGGCTACGCTACAATCCACCATCTACTAGTAATCATGTCAATTATGCCATAATTCCACACTTGCTTTCATCTCGACATTTTTTAAAACAAAGATGATAATCAGTACACTTTGTTTTACATACTCATTGAGTTCAGTATGTGTTCTTTAAATGAGAAAATGCTCTCAAATAGTTTATAACACGATGCCAAGTGACAAGCTGGTTCTGATCACATAGAACGGCTTTGTGCTGTCGAGTTTTTCGCCTTTTTAAAGAAATATATACTACTACTATTTTTTTTTCTTTAAACAAGCTCTATTGTGTCAAACGAGTGTGAAAAGAGACAACACAGCTTTACAAGACAAGTGTATTTTATGCACTTCTTTGTATCAGACTTAAAAGACCTCAATGTAAACATACCTGTGTTCTGTGAGAACATTCACTGCTGATGGATGGTTGGCACAGTAGGCAAGGTATAAGCTTTTCATTTGTGGCATCAAATTTAGAAAACATCCTCCAACCCTCTGCTGAGCTTCAGGCAACCTAAAAACAAAGAAATAAAGATGAAATTACTGTAATACCAACACAGAAATAAATTAAAGCCTGGGAAAATACTGTATCTTGGGGTGGATTGTTTGTTTCTGGTTTGTTGTTGTTGCATTTTAATTTTTTTAATTAAATCACAGACAGATTTCTACGGTCATTGACCAGAAACCAACAGCCTTCTCTTCCTTCTTTACAGCTTCAAGCCTGTAACTGTCAAGCCTGATTATGCCACCGCAGTGTAGGCAGAATATGGCACATACCTATAAGATGGTCATTCAGCAAAAATGTTTTTAAAATAAAAACTGGATGGAGTAGCAACAGGATTCTCTCCCTCTGGGCTACACCAACAGATGATAGGCTTAAAGTACTTCTTAAAAGATCTAAATACTGTATTAAACCCAAATAGAAGCCAGTTACAGTGCAGTAACAGGCTGTTTTGAGAAAACTGTGATTCATCTTGCTTTTTAAGAGCCATAAAGCACTTCTTACCTTGGTTTGTAACCAGGGCAAGAGTGCTGCTTTACCACCATCAGCAGAGAAATTCTTCCTATAACTCATACTTTCTTTATCTTTCATGCTTGAATGCGCCACATTCACTAAGCAGTGAAGGCAAATGTCACAATTCTGTTCAGAAAAGCTTATTTTGTCTAGTATAAACTGGTGCTTAAGTAACAGCAGCCTCTGTGACTTTGGCAAAAAAGATGACTCAGCAAGAAAATCAGTTATTTAGAAGAAAAACTTACTTCACAAAGGCTTGGTGAAACTAATCAGTGTTGATCAGGTTTGTCAAAGGAACATACACACATTTATTCACATAAATAAGTGAGGGCAGGATATGAAAATAGGTAATATGAATATACACAGTGTATTTTTCAAAGGTTTTAGCAGAAACTCATCTCAAATTGCACTAAGAAAATATCTGGAGTATAAATATCTGAAATTGGCTGTGTAGCACCAGCTTAGAACTGGTACAATCAGCAGAAAGTAAAAGACTGACTTCTGATTTTGCATCTGTATAAGCAGGAGAAAAAAAGGGAAAGAAAAATGCAACTCTTCCAGTCTTATTCTTAGTATCTCCTTAAGCTGCATATTGCAGATGCAAATAAAAGTACACTCACACATGCTTTTTTTTTTTTTCCAAATCTAAAATAATTTTCAAGTTAAACACAAACTGATGGGAAGAAGCATATACTCTAACCAGCCACGCTTCCTTGCTGCTACTCTACCACCATTCTCAGAACCACACAAACACATCCATACTAGATTAATTCCCATGTGAGAAAGAATAAATGGGACAAACAAGTGAACGATATCATAAAGGTGTCAGAAGGGAAGAAACACTTGTTTTCTACAGAGCAACTGCCACTTGAAGGGCTCGGCCTCTTCCGCAGTAGGTTTTATGGCCAATAGCCAAGTGTATAACCCACACGAAGTTAACCAGAAGATGGGACATAAGTTTTAAGCAGTCCTAGACTACAGGCTTGTCCCTGACACCTTGTCAAAACCCATTGTACGGCATCTGCAAGAAGATGAAATGTTTCAATTTCTCCATTTATTTCCTCTCCTTTCATAAAGATTGAATCTCCTAACATAAATATGCCGAGTCTTTGTCTTATCTTGCAAACAGGATGAAGCAAACAGTGGATTTTCTTGTTGTTATCATCCATTTCAGTCAGTTTTTGATTTAACTACTCTTAAAACCAGTATTTCACACTGCTCTAAAACTAGATGAGTTCTCAGTAAGTACTCAACAGACATCCTGTTATCAGTGTCAAAAGGTTTCATGCTAACATTAATTCCAACAATTCTCTCTGGAAGAATACTGGTTTTATTTTGAAAAATACAATTTTTTGAAAGTCAGTATTTTCTGTAATTGTCCCGAACATATGCATAAAGTCTCTATAAATGTCAATATTTAGCATACTCCCTCTGAAAAAGTGAGAATCGCTCCAGTGAACCCTAGTAGACAAGAGCTGTTCAACTTTCCAGGACAGCTGCTCCTCCAGTTTCCATCCCGCTCCATCACACAGTCCTCTTGTCCCACTCCTTGGGTTTGCTCATAGTAGTTAAGATTCAAAAGTTCATCCCAAGAAATATTCCCCCAAATTTCAGAACAATCAGTCTGTCTCCTACTAAGCTGCTCAGTCCCTCTGTATGGTGTGGGAAGGCATACTTAATATGAAGTCAAAATCGACTGTATAGGTGTTCAACATGCAAGGCAGGGGAAACATGCTTCCCTATTTGAAAGCAAAGTTCGTTATACGCTCAGAAAATGGCAGCTGAATCCCCAGCTAGAACATCACGCCAGATACACTCTGACTTTATCAGCGTTCCTTACATCAAAGGCTAAGACTCCTATTTTATTGTTTGCATCTTTATTTCTCTTTCACCAAGTTTACATTCTGAAATCAATAGAGTGGCTGCTTTGGCAGGTATTTAGGGGAAAACCAGGGGCATTCCCCAGCATACTGAGGGAATGTTATTCTTACAGGCTTCCAAGCAGCATTTCCTGCCTGGCAGCTGGTCCCCTTCAATAAATTCAAGCATGAGCTAATAATACGTTCTTCAAGTAATAGATGCAGCAAAAGTCTCAAACTCTGAAGACACACTCAAGGCGTATAACTCAGTATTAAATAGTAAGAAGCCCCAATAAACAGTTGCTGAAAATGGTTAAATTCCCTTTTCATACTGTATTGAGGGGGGGAGGGGAGTCAATTATAGCTGTTCACACCAAGCAGACATCTGTGTCTGCTCAGTCTGCTGTTCTTTTAGCAGAATGAAAGACTGACATTATTCTCTTTTAGATGTTGCACACGCATTGCAACTTTATACTGCACATTCTTTGTTGAAGTAAGATAATTAGCAGACTTTATGAGGGGGTGGAAACTCATCCCCTTTGACTTTTCTAATCCATGCATTAGTTGCAAGTGCTCTACTATTTTTAGAGGAACAATTAATAAGTCATCTATATCTCCTTTAACTGCTGAAAATCCAACAATTTAATGCCTACAATCACATCATATAAATCTTTTAGTAACTAACGTGTTCAATAAAGAGCATAGTTATTTTACAGTTTATTCTGAAATTGTCATCACAATATTCTTCGTATATTTTAACTTTAATTAAAAAGGAATCACATATAAATATTATATTTATTCATATATAAGCATGATAATAAATTCAGTTACAAAAAGGCCAAAGACATGTTTTAATTTCATTTCCAGAATTAAAAGAACATGAATCCTCTGCTGTTGTACACATGCTAGAGGCATCACCATACAACTACATCTAAACTACCTAACAGATTATCTGCTTGTTGGAGTTACATCCAATAGCGCTCAGTTCTGTTTTTTCTAGACTTAAAACATGTTCCCACTGCATGATAATTTGAGAAAAGAAGGAAAGGAAGGAAAGAAAGAGAGAGAGGCAGGGAGGGAGGCAGGGAGGGAGGCAGATACTATGTTGCTCAATCATGCTTACTTTAAGATTCTGATCAAAACCAGCAATCAGAACTGGACTAAAGCTAGACTGGCAGCCAGAGTGACAACATAGTATATCTAATAATGTCATGCATATTCTCACGAAATCTGTTAGTTTTGGTGTCAGTGGACCTTACAACGTTCTGGGAAAGGCTGTGGAAGCTGTGATCAATACAGAAATATTTAAACACAGACTAACAGTGGCAATTTTTAAAGAAAAGTAGATAACAAAAGGTAATCAGCATTGTATGTTTTCTTTTTGCAAGGAAAAGATCAGATGTCCCTAAATGTCACTTGACTGTGTTTACCATGAGAGTGTTATGCAGCAATCTATGTCCCCATATATATATTTATTTATTTATTTATACACAGACACACACGACCCCCTGCACAACCTGCCACAAACTAAAAACTTGAAATTATCTGGATAGCATTTTCTGCTCTTCCCCATCTCCTCCCACAAAGGTAAACAAGCAGCACCTCCTGCCCCTCTCTCAGTCTCCTGAAGGATCTGGAGCATCAGTAAGTTTGCTATATTCACAGGAGGTCAGTACAGAGAACGCCTTGACCTTAAAAGCTGATGGTAGAGAAGACCCAAGACAAGTGAAGGTCTGCAAAAATCATTAGGGAATAATTGTGAGTAGTGACTCCAAGGGATGCAGTTTGTGAAGAAACACAAGGTTAGATGTTATCTTCTGAGGGTTCACAGTTAACAAGGTTACTGAAACACCGGAACTTTCTGAGGTTCTGTTTGCACAAATGGAGGCACTGTTCAACTTACAATCCATCAGTCTAATTTTCAATACTCTCTTCACAACCGTACCTTTCACTATTTGCCTATTTGCCTTACTTCTCACACATCAGTAAATATGCACGTTTGTTTCAGTCAATCTGCAGACACTGTGTTGAAATTCATTTAAAGTCGGTAACCTTATTTCTGTTGATACTAGAACCAAAAGGAAGGGAGGATACCGAGATAAACTTTTAACAGACTTAATTTGTATCTGCACTCCAAAAACAAACCTGAAGCACTGCTTAGTTTTGGATTACAGTTAAGCAATCTACCTCTCACACTCTGGCATTCCTCTCTATTTTTTTCCCCCGTTTTTTTTAAATTCTCATTCTACTCCAGGATCATCCCAGAACACGAATTACCCACTTGCACTTAAACACAGAACAGGATAAAGAAAAACAACATAGTTACTGTGTCTGCAAGAGCAGGGACATGAGGGCAAGAGAGGGCAAAACTCAGCTATGGCTGTTAGGGGGCAGGGAGACAAGTCTGTGATACTACCTAAAAGACATCCAGTGCATTCAGTTTACTACAGAGGAGATTACACCTCAGCAATCCGTGCAGGCTGGTGTCAGCAGCCTGCCTGCGTGTCATGTCCCCACCCTCACTGAGAAGCACAGCCATAGACTGACAGCTTCTAGTCCCAGGTGAATGGAAGATTTTTTTTTTTTTTTTGACCAGGAGACATCTGTTCAATCTCCTGCTACAAAAATACCCAAAGATCAATACTCCCAATAAAGATCATTTAGATCAGCCCAGAGATTACCTAATGGACACGGATTTTGTTTGTTTAGAAACGCCTCTGCTGTGTGCACCACTGCAGAACTGATCTTTGGCACTGGATCACACATCTCGAAAGAGACCTAGAGCCCTGGGCCACCTTCTGTCTTCAAGTGACTGGAGCACAGAACGCTCTCGCTCTGTTTTACTGTCAGAAATCTGCCCTTTTGCAACTGAAGACTCTGTCAGCATCTCTCTGCCTTGTCAGTTACAGCTCTTTTCCATCCATCAAAACAAAGTGTGCTTGATCAGTTAAAAAAAAAAAAAAAAAGCATCTTTGAAGTAGATCAGCCAGAAGGTTCTCACTCAATGCTAGTTAGACTCACTTCATACACCGCTTTTGTTTGGTAAATGAAAAAGTCACAAAGGTTGAAGTAAGCCCAAACAAGTCTGTCCAATGGTGCCCAGCATCCAGGCAGGTGGACAAGAAGTGTTCCCAAGCCTGTGACAGATGGAGCAGCCCACAGGAACACCACAGTGATGCTGCAATAGAGGTGTACCTGGACAAGCTCGAAGAGGACAAACCTTCAGCAATGTACCAGAAGAGCTTCAAGGCTGGGGGCAAGGTGGCACACAGCTGAAACCAAACCACATCCAAACTGCTTCCCCAAAACACACAAAACCCATAACCTAACGTTTAACAACATGAGGATTAAATAAGCCAAAGTGGTGCAAGCAAGAAGAAGAAAAGCACCAGAAAGTTTCTGTCACTGAAGTAGATGCCAGGATTTATTAAGAGAAAACTGAAATGACAAACTGACTCAAGACGGGTGTGAAATTCAAAAAACATTCAATTCTCACACACAAGTACAGGAATTTGTCAAGCAAGGTAGGCTGGCAGTACTACAACTGGCAGGACATCGACATTTGGTCATTCTGACATGTCAAGTTAGAAAAAACACCACAGCGGATGCTGCAATATGAAGTGTCTGAATGATGGAACTATAAGCACTCTGCCAAAAATAAAGTGATAAATCTATTTTCAGCCCGGGAGCTACTCTGAGTTTACAGAACAGGTTCACCAGCCAAAAAACCATGGCAAAATGACAAAAAAAAAGGCAGCAGGGCAAGCATTCTTCTACATGATGGGAATTATGATGGATTAGATTCAAAACAGGAGGAAGCTGGATGCACAAGTCAATATACTATGAAGAAAATTAAACTGAAAATACAACTTGGCATGACCAGCAGAAATGAAAATAACACAAAACATTTGCAGTAACCCTTCAGTAACCCGGGGGCATCATTTCCTCTGCCCACCTACTATCATCCATTATGTTCCTAATTTATTACACAGCAACATTTCACTTAGCAGGAAAAAGAAATAAAGGACATTATGAGAAGGTGTTCTAATAGACTTTAAATCACAGAAGTTCTAAATAAGCTTTCTGAGCTTGAAGCTACATTATGATATCACATTAACCTACATACCAAGTTAAAACAAAGCTTGCATTAACACCTGATAAAAGGCATATGCTCTTCCACTCCTGTTTTTAAGACGACCTTAATCAAATTTTCAAAAGATGACAGCCTGTTCATGCAAGGTACTTCATTTCCCTAACTTATGATTCACATCAACAAAATCATGGTAACAAAAGAATGAGGTAACAAAGCGAAGTGACATGAAAAGAAAGGAAACATTTAAGTATGTGGACAATCATACTCCTGGATTTCGACACTTAACTGATCAAGTCTAACTTGCCAGAAGGAATATCCTTCTTTCTCAAACACAGTGTGGAAGAAAGGCCATTTCAAGAATGTTTCCATTCCACTGCTGAATAGTCATCTGAGCTACACTGTCCTTTCCATTCTCGCCAGTCTAAGTTGTTTAGAGGCAGAAGAGAGGGAGACAGCCAGGTACTCCCAGCAGACTGAAACTTGTCTAAACCCTCAGTAGCCATTCAAATTACTAACTTGACAGAAAACAAACAAATTTGGATTAGCAATTTGCCTTAGCTCACCATGTGGTCAGGCAAAACCAGAACACGGGCACAGAAAAGGACATAACTGAGATTAGGAACAGAAACTACACTTTCAGTGGAGTTTCAACACTAGAAAATTGTTAGGACAAATCAAATGTAATATGGTCACCTTCTTTCCTACACCCCCAAGTGCTGAGGTATGAGCTGAAAAATATCCATCTACTGCTTCAGCCTATCCTGTGGAAGAACAGGTGGTTTTGTCCCCTTCTTTCTCTGTTTTATGCTTTCTATATGGTTCAGTATAGGAAGTATAGGAACTGAGGCTTTTTTTCTTTTTTTTTAAATTCAGACTGCTCTTTCTGCATATCCTGCACACCTCTCCCAGCACATTTTGACAACCACCATTGTTCAGGACAGAAGAACACTAAGCACAAGCATTCCCCTACAGCATCCTTCATCCAAGTCACTTACCCCTCCTCCACTGTTCCATCACAACATAAGCTCCCTTCGATTCTTTCTCTTAAGAAAAGACTTAAAATTCATGCCTCCGAACCAAAAGACACCGCTTCCTCTACCACTTCCCCACTGGTATGCAATTGCATCATGAAAATTCATAAATTTTTTTCAAACTATGTCAAAATTCCTACCTCTGCAATTGCATCCTACAGCCAATATCTATTTGTGCAAGCAATCAATGCATTATCCAAACATCTTTTACTGCACTGCTGTAGCAATTATCCTTGAAGTGAGAGGAACAAAAGTTATGTCAAGCATCGACAAGTAAAATAAGAAATATTTGCTTGATAGAATTTTACAGTATCTGGTACGCATAGTACTTACTTGGTGCATTCTTCTAAAGACTGTACAAGCATTTGCTGGAAAGAACTTATTTCTTCCAGGTTTCCCATTAAGTATGAAGTGTTTGTCGAGTTTAGCCTGGAGCCAAAGTAAATAAAAGGTGTTTAGGTTTGCAGTTATTGACTAATTCTGCTTTAATAAAACCTACAACCTTAAAAGAAAATGATTACTGGTTCATAGATCAAGGACCAGACTGTTTTAGTCAGCAAGCAAACTGAATAAAAGCAAGCCCTGCCTCAAGAATCAATCAGTCCACACCAGAAACTGCACACTGACATTGAAATTTTGACCGTGTAAACCCTCCCCAATACCCAAGAAATCTCGAGCTTTATTTAAAAACCAAACCAAACTCACATACTTTTCACTGGCTTGTAACGGTCGCAGGTAGTTTGAAAGCATTGTTTGTAGCTCCTTAGCATATTCATTTTCTGTTTCTAATATATTTTGTAGCACCTACAATAAATAACAGTTGCTTATTGATATCTTTTAAGAAATGCTTCAAAATGCTCAAATCGATACCAGTTTTAAAGCATACTAAAATTTACTTGGCACTAGGAAAACTTAAGTGACTGTTTCTTAAAAATTTAAATATCAGCAAGAAAGCACTGAATATATACGTTAATGAAATTCACAGGGGAAAAAAACAACACACACATGTGATGAGTCATCCTTTAGCCATATACAAAAAAAGTGGTAAGCTAACAGGAACACTACACTTAAAACTTCTCTATAGCTTTCAAATTTTACAGAGATAGTGTTCTTCTGAAGCTAGGGGTAACTATTGCTCCTATGTACTTCAGAACAGTCAAAGATCATCACAGGTTGGTAAAGCACAACAGAAGTTGTAAGAGAAATGAACAATTAGTGTAGTTTTCTAGGTCTCAATTACAACTAATCTTGCTAGCAGTGTTTACTTATTCAGATGCACTGTTCTATCTAGAAGGTCTGAATATTAACAGATTTATAAAGTAATTGCCAACTTTACTTAGCCATGTGATTAGCATTACTGCATTCTTTTTAAATGGGGTTGACTATCCTTTCACTGAGAGTGCAATAATATACGCTACCACGAGAAAATTACAACAGATTCCGATGCAAAGCCAAGAATTTATAAAATACAGCACACACTTGGGTTTTGGCTGAATATATATCAAACAACTGGAATACCCCCAAACATGTTCAAGAAAACATTTTACTGGGCCATCTCCTGGGAGCCTGCCTGCTTTAGAATATCCTCCAATATATTCATATCAAGTTGTACTGTGCTTCTAGCTGGCAAATTATTCTTTCCCTCCTAAAAGTTAATGATTTAGCAAGAGAATCACCAGAATTAAATGTAGTTCAATGAACACAGCTTCAGCTTTGAAAATGTATTGCTATTCACTGGTCATAGGCCACACCACAAACCTCATTTTGCTACATGCCATATTTGTCAAGCCTACAGTAATATCTCATTTCAGCATTTACAGTAACAACTGTAATTGAGTGCATTATTCATTGTTGTAGTCAATACTCTTTCTTAGGAAATAAAAAAAGCCATTCATTCCTAAATGCAAACCTGATGAAATAACTTTAAATAGTTCAGTATGTCAATGAAGAATTCACTGTTCCTTTCATTGGTGTCATTGATTCTGCTTATTCCTTGAATGCTTCTATTCATTTGGAGAGAGGGAGAGAGACCACTTTTGAGTTCATTCTTTTGTTGGGAATCTGAATCCTGAACTGAAGATTAAAATGTCTCCATTCTCTGCTAAACACTATGACAGAAGAACGTCACAGGAAAAGTTATGGCTACTAACTAGGAAACTACAGCACAAAGTACAATATGGGCACACAAATTTTTAAAAAGTGAAGGCTTTTTTAACCAGTTACACCAGGGGGAAAAAAAAAAGAAAATATTTCCATTTATCATAGCACTAATTAAACCTCATACATGTAAGACAAACTCAATTGTTAAAATGCAAATATAAAAGTACTTAGCATTCATGAGGTTCAAAACTAAATGCAAGACCAATCTTTTCCAATATTTTTTTTTTTTCCTACAAAAATCTCCCAGCACAATGTCATTACACAGCCATTAGAAGGAAAAAGGAGACTGAAAGTCAAGGACAAAAGTGCAGTGTCTTGATGAAGCATTAAAAGGCAAAAAAAGAAGACATTAAAAGGCAAAAAATGAACAAATTTCCTAAAGATCATGAAAGGCTGTACCATTGCTCCACTTTCTCAAAGAGTATGTCCATTCTTTGCTATGAACAGCTGTTTGGAAAGTTTGAAATAAAACTAGTTTCATGTTGGACAACTCCATTATTTTCTTGTGCTGGTTTGGATTTTTATATGAGGATTTTCTTTGCAATATGGAGAATATGGGATTGGAGGCAAAAGATTTAAAAGAAGGAAAAATGAAAGAATGGTCAAGCTTAAAAACTAGCAACCTGATAAATTGCTGGAAAAAGGAAAATAAATGCAACTGTAAATAAAACTATGCCACAAAACCCATGCAGAGTATGAGATACACTTATACTGCTTTATGTTATTCTAATAGTTCACAATGTTACACAATACTTCAGATAGACACAGTTTTAAACACTTCCCAAACACATTAAACTTCATTTTTTTTTAAAAAAACCAAGTAGTTTCCACTGCATACAACATTCTTTTACTTTGAGTATCTTTCAGAAAGAACAATCTTGCTTACATAGCTCTGAAACATCAGTTCTGTGAAATCTCGCATCCTTCCAGCTTGACTTACCTACCTCACCGAGAAGCTATGAGGATTAAATCTTGGACTGTGCTTTGAAGCAGTAAGTAGTCAGCATCTCAACTCAGTATTTTGGCACCAGAGCACCCTTACATTCCTCAGATCCACATCTCACTCACATGGTCTAATAATCACCTTTCTTCCCTTTCCTGCTTTCTGTGCGTTCTGGCTGCTGCAAGACCCCATGAGACCTCGAAGACCTTGTTTCCACAACTCCACCACAATATTTGCACAGATAAGACCGGGTACCAAAAGAGCAGCATTGAAGTGGCAGCTTTTGCAGTCTGTAACAGTGATGAATGGCAGGCACAGACAACTGAGCTCATACAGCACAAGCTCTCTCAACCACACAGCATGGAAAATTCAAGCATGGTTAACAGTTCTCACACAAAACCCCAGCCATCTCCCTACAGCAAAAACTACCACCCAAAAATGGATTTTAAATTACCTACGTGAAGCTGATCACCTTCCAAATCAGAGGGGGAATAGGCAAATTTCACAGCTACGCCTGGGCATTATCCTGTAGGACATTATCATTTTATGGGAGTACTATAGCACTCAACTGAAATATCACATACTTCAGTAAAATCGTGATCAGTGTCTAATTTTCCTAGATCATGAGAATCTGACAGACTAAGCCCTTAAAACAAGCCCTCAGGAGGGGCAATGGAAAGCACCACACCAGTACACTGTACCTCAAGGGACCTCAAAAACTTTTACAAACTTTAGTAAACACAAACTCTTGACCCAACTTTAAAAGTATAGCCTCAAAAGGAGTACTTATTTTCCATCACCTCTCAAACACTTAAATGAAAAATTAGGTCATCCAAATACTCATACTATGGAGAAATTTACTCATTTCTTTCCTGCTTTTAGAACAGCTATTTAATCTCAAGGCAATTGTCCCGTAAGCAGAGATAACCTAATTTTATTTTCAACACCAACTTTTAAATTTTCAAGGGATCTCAAGTAAAAATAAAACTCAAGAGTAACGCCTGCTCTGTTTTCAGGGAATAACCTGCAATAATGTACCCACTACTTCAGTAACAGGTTACTAAATTACTTCTACATGAAAAATGTTTGGTGTTTGATCACTAGTCTGGTTCATATTACACACTGCTGTAGATTTGTACCATTTTATGGAGCACAAGACCATGTAGCACTAGTCATTCCCTATTGAACTGCATTCCCAAGCCAGGCAAAATGTAAGCATAAACCAAATGTGCTCCGTCTTCTCAGCAACACCTACTGCAAGGTGCAGCTAATACAGCAGACTGAGACTAGAAGATACGTGATTTGTGTTACGAACTTCAGATGGAGCTCCGTGAAGCCATAAAAATAAAGAACGTTTTTACAAGGGGATGAAGAACAGAGGAAAGCAGTGAAAGCAGTCTCCTCTTTACATTACGCACCTTTCCCTGTAGCCTAGCCCAGCCTTTCTCCCAGGAAGGGAAATTAGCAGAGCCTCTCCTACCACTTTTTTGAATTTCCTCTGAACTACCCTCTGATTTTGTCCTCAGGCTGACAAATGCACCCACAGGTGCTGCCTGCACCTGCACAAATCCTTGCCTAGGAAAAATAGTAATAAATAATCATGTGGTTTACAGGGTCTCAGCACATACACACATGGTGGAAGACAGCCACAACATAAAAATAGCAAGCAGTCCCAGAGTACTAGCCTCAGATCATGCTTGGTTGTCGAGAGAGCCTTTAACACAGATTTTAACGCTTACTCTTCAACTGAAGCTACATCCTTTTAGCTATCAGTTGCCAAAGGTTTATTTCGAGCTGTTCTGTTGTTACCTTAGTATGGGCTCAATTTTGTTATCAGTACAGACTGGTAATAAGACTTCCAGCACAGAGAAGTCCCACATCTGCAGTTTACGTAGTAAGACAGAACAAAAACTCAACTCACAGGTTGAACTACTTTCACATCAGTGAAATGGTTTGCTGTATGTCTTACCTACATGTAAAAAACATTATATCGTCACTGTTTATTGCATTATTGCAATAATGTAATTATGTTGCATTATATTGCACATAGTATTTGTCAAGAAAATCTAGATGCCAGCACATCCAATTTAGGTTTTAGGCACAGCAGTGAAGTCTTACTTCTCTGAAATAAAGTACATGCTACAGCGCAGCTTATCATTCTTTAAACAAAAAAGAATAAAATGGTGAGCTTAAAAAAAAGAACAAAACAAAAAAACACCAACACTGGAGGTATTTGCCACACTGTGGAGAAACGTGAAAACCAGACAAGTATTGAGTTCACTGCAGACAGATTTAAAAAGAGCACTCCAGGGCCAGTGCTCTAACTTACTATATATATTATTATGAACTGGTCATTTCCACCCCCTGCCCCCAGCCCCACAATATGTCAACAACAGTTAATAAACAGCTATCAGTCAAAACAGTGCTAATGTTATTACATCAGTTTAGTTCAAGAAAGTTGCACCTGAGCAAGATGAAAAATTACCCCATTCCAAGGGTAGGTATGATGGTTACTAGCTTCATTATTTTATGGGGGGTTTATTTAACTTAGACTACTTTAAAAGGCAGCTATGGCTGTTTCCCGAAGTATAGAGTAGCTTCAGTCTCCATGCTTAGAATAGGTTATCCAAGGAACAATTATAAAAAGCACACAAGTGAAAGGTGATATTTCAAAATTGTATGGCCTTCTATAACTTAGCTGCCTTAACTATGGGTTTAGGCAAATTCAAACATTTACTTTCTATTATTTTCACTGACATACACTATCACCCCCAAAAATGGCCTGTATTACTCTTACAAAGAAGAATATAAACCCACAAGATTCAATTAATTTTGGACGTAGTCAAACTGGAGTTTTAGTCAAAATTAAGCAGCTTTTACTTTTCATTATATTAAGATTTATCACAGAAATCATAAGATAAGATTAAAGGAGGGAAGTATTTACCACTGAATTTAAAAAAAAAAAAAAAACAAACCAAACAAAAAAATAGAAAAAAAAACAATCCAAAAAACCCCACATCTAAACAACTGGTACTCAAGAGAGCTGCCAATTTATTTTGATTAAAAATTCAACATAGATACAGACTAAACTTAAGTAAGAGCAGTCTTCTGCCTAGTGAAGGAACTAAAGCCTCTCTGCTGCATTCTATTCCATTTACTTGGACTGGAAACAGGTTTTCACATCAAAGCAACAATAGAAAAGACATATTTACTACTAAACACTACAGCAACTTTGAGAAAAAGGACTACAAAGAGATATAGTGAAAAACAAAAATAAAAAGGACAATTATCCAGTATTTTGTTGTTGGATGTGCTGGGTTTGTGTGGCAGGGGGGTTTGGTAGTGGGGAAGGGGGCTACAGCGGTGGCCACTGTGAAAAGCTTCCTGAAGCTCCCCCGGCTCCAAGTCAGACCCACCTCTGGCCAGGGCCGAGCCAGTCAGTGACAGTGGCTGCCCCTCTGCGAGAACGGATTTAAGAAGGGGAACCTGGGAGGAGGAGTTGGTGTTGGGAGGAGGAGTGGTGAGAAGGGGACCTATGCGAACACCGAGGTCAGTGGATAGGAGGAGGAAAGGGGAGGAGGAGCGCCAGAGCAGAGACACCCCCACCCCGCACCCCCCGGCCTGTGCTGAGACAGCAGGGCTGCTCCCCACCACCACCCCCCATGGACATCTGCGGCGGAGCAGATGCTGACCCGTGGCTTGTGGAGGAACCCACAGCAGAGCAGGGGACAAGGCCCAAAGAAGGTCGGCACTCTGTGGGAAGCAGCAGCCCCCCGCCGCTGGGAGGACTGCAACTTGTGGGGGGTGACCTGTGCTGGAACAGCACGGGACTGGCCGCATCTTCTCTGAAGGACTCACGCCAGAGAAGCTCGTGGAGGACTGCCTCTCGTGAGAGGGGAGCCACGAAGAGCTGGGGAAGAACACAAGCAATCCTCCCCGCCTTGAGGAGGAAGAAGCGTCAGGATTGACCATAGCCCCATTCCCTGGTCCATGAACCACTGTGGGCAGAAGGTAGAGAGATCAGCAGCAGAACTGAGCCCGGGAAGAAAAGAGGGGTGGGGGGGAAGGTGTTTTTAAGATGTGGTAATGCTTCTCACTGTCTCACTCTGTTAAGTGTTGCTGTTAGTGTTTGAACTAAAGTGATCTTTGTTTTCTTCCCATAATAAGTCTGTCTACTGCTGTAACCGGTGAGCCATCTCTCCCTATCCTTATCTGGATTCCAGAGGCTTTTGCTTTATTACCTCCTTCCCAGCACTGGGGACTGTCCTGGGTTGAGTGAGTGGTGGAGTTTTTTGGTGGCAGGGGAGGGGGCTATCGGGGCGGCCCCTGTAAGAAGCTTCTCGAAGCTCCCCCAGCTCCAAGTCAGCTCCACTTCTGTTTGGGAAATTGAGCCAATCAGCTGCGCCTCTGCAATAACGTATTTAAGAAGGGACGTGGTGACGGGCAGTGGGACTGGTGAGGAGGAGTTGCTGCAGCTGCATGAACACCAAGGTCAGTGGAGGAACGGAGGAAGAAAGGAGGGGGGAGGTGTGCCAGAGCAGAGACCCCCCTGTATCCTGTGGGGAGACGGCAGGGCGGCCCCCCCTGCCACCCATGGAGATTTATGGTGGAACAGACATTGATTTATGGCCTGTGGCTTCTGCTTGGAATATTCAAGGTGCTGTGCCTGAAGAAGGCCGGGGTCTCATGGGAAAAGGTATCCCCCGCTGCTGTAATTCAGTGCTGGGAGGATTGCAGCATGCGGGGGAGTCCCACGCCGGAGCAGCTCGGGAAGGGCTGCAGCCGTGGGAGGGAATCCAGTCGGAGGAAGTTAGTGACCCATGACGGAGCAGTGTGGGGAACGCTGCGGCCCGTGGGAGGGACTCATGTCGGAGAAAGTTTGTGGAGGACTGTCTCCTGTGAGAGGGGGACCACGATGGAGCAGGGGTAAGAAGTTCCAGAAGCTCCCCTCACCGAAGATAAAGGAAGTGGCAGCGCTGACTGCACCCCCCATTCCCTGCCCCTGCGCCACTGGGGGAGGAGGTAGAGATATCGGGAGCAGAACTGAGCCCGGGAAGAAGGGAGGGGTGGGGGGAAGGTGTTCTCAAGATGTGGCAATGCTTCTCACTGTCCTACTCTGTTATGTGTTGTTAGTGTCTGTAATAAATGTATGTTCTTTTTTCTCTTCCCCTAACGAGTCTGCCTTTTGCTCGTGATCATAAAGGGGGATTTTTCCCCATCCCAGTCCTATCTCGGACCCCAAGCCTGGCTCTCTGTCCCTTCTTGTTGCTGGAAGAGAAGGGAGAGAGCTGCTGCGTGGTGGTTGGCTGCCAACCAGGCCCAAACCACGACAGGGACGAAGGGGGGAGTGAGTGGCTGCATGGTGCTCAGTTGCCTTCTGGGCTCAAACCACCACATGGATGTACCACAGTAAGATCATTGCTTCCTGCAGCTTGAAGGAAGGTGTGCCTGCACAGGTACTTTCCATTGTATCCCACACCTGCTTGTCAGGATAGCCAAAGAATTGCGGCCGTCCCTTTACCATGGAATTATGGCTATGGACAGAGGCACCAGGCAAGCCAGGGGGAGGAGCAGGATGTTGTTTCATTGTTTTCAATTAGGGGATTATATACAAAACTGCTCTGTTCTTCCAGGTGGTTGGTGTTATTCATGCCACAGCCACAAAAGATGAAAGCATAAAACAATGCTTTATGATCCCTGCTAACTACTGAGAAATAAGATGAGAAACAATGACAGCTGCTTCAAAAAGGGAAAAAAAAAAACCTTGTGTTTTGGTTTTACACCAGCAGGGAGCAGTGGTTAACAAAAACATGCTTTTTCCTTCCCAGTGTATCTACCCCTAGAAAATAAGGGATTCTCAAAATGGTTACAACACCATCTCTAAAGACAGAGTTTGGTATGTTTCTTACATGCATCTACTAAAGAGGTCTCAGTAATAGGTTAAGAATTCCTGGGGTGTGTTAAAGGCTGGCTCTGGCTATACCACTTTTGCTGAGAAATCTTTAGACCACCGGTGTAAAGGAGAGGTTCCTGCGGTCGAGTTGAATTGTAAGCATGAATACAAAGGAGGAAAGTTCTTTCTAAATGTTCAATCTCTCGTTCAACAAAAATATTCTTACTCATTTTAACACAGCAGAATTTGATTAATTCAGAAAGACTGGGAAATACTGATTGCATTTTTAGGGGATTGGGGAGAAAAGGGAAATTAACAACTAGCAAAGCAAATAAAACGAGCATAATATATTACATAAATTCCTATTATTCACTTGCTTTAGACTCTAATTTTGCATCATGCTTAAGAATCTGTATGTGCGATATTCCATTAAACTAATAACGATCTTGTTTATATGAGAATTCACTAAAGTCCCTGGGTAGTTCTGGCACTAAGGCTCAGTCAAGACTGCCAAATTTTTTTTTGCAGATAAGAGCATTTAGTTAAATGACCTACTACTGTATGTAAGAGCTCACATGGAGGAAAAAGGATCACTCACCACATTGTAATAGCTTTTGTTAATTGCAGACGTATCAAAGCCTTTAGGTGGACTCTTCAATGTACCTGATTTGGGGGAGACCGGTTTTTCTGAAATGTAAGATATTTTTGGGTCAATGGGGTGCAATTTCATAGCTCAACACTAGAGGTCAAACAAACTGCTTTAAAATATTTATTGTAAGATAAAGTGAAAACTGCTTCACTGAGAAACGTACATACTTGCACTTGAAATTACTGGTAAAGAATCAAAATGGTTCATATGTTCACAATGAACACCCCACAATGAACACCTCAATGAAGGCAAGTAGAAAAATTCCAATTCTTTTTCCTGGAACCAGAAAGTCAGTTAAGAAAATTAGCTTTTCCAAAATTACTGTTTAAAAACAAAACGTTATCACAGACTGCAATTTAAAAAAACAACAGGCATTTCCAAACACTACACACATTTTCAAACAAAGTAGTATTAAGTTTTAATATCAATTTAGTGAACTCAGTAAAAGCAAGTGACCAATCGAAGGCTGAACATACCAGAGGTAGGACATTACACTCAGTCTGGTTGAAACAGAAAATGAAAACACTATACAAGTAGTGGAGTGACTTACCAGATGCCTATCCTGGAAAATCATCTTTTAAAACAAAATATCTTTTATTGTTAATTAAGTAAAAAATAAAAATGCTTATGCACTTGAGAACAGAGTACAACATTACAATAAATGCAATCCTTCCTATAATCCCATAGTTAATCTACCCCTCAGTAATGCACGCTCTTTCTGGAAGGACAAGGTAAGCCTGAAAGATCAAAACAACAGCCCTGAGAGTTATTCGAGCGCTGACTCCCAGAATGGAGAGGCACAGACAACACAGGCCTAAAGCCTCCCCCCCACCTCTACCATTCCTCTAAATCAATCACCGAGGGGCAAAGATGAGGGGAGAGAAAATCAAAAGCACAGAATGCTGCAGGCTGGAGAAACAGCAAGTAAGATTTACAGCACCTCTTTTTGATCTCTCACACTTGACTTTGCACACAACCAACTGAGAATGCTTGTGAGACTCTATTTATCAGAATATTATGGTGTTTTGTTTTGTTTGTTTTCAAATAAACAGGCTTATCTAATATGCAAATTTCAAATAAACATTTGAATCATTTGTATCAAAACAACAAAATGGCTAATTGTCAAAAAAAAATAAAACCAACACCAAAAAAAAGCATCATCAAGACATACCTACTGAAAGCTTTACCTTTATTTTAAAAGCAAGCTCCTGTTTCAAGCACGTTTTAAAGATACATGAATAATTTAACTCTAGTTTACCTGATACCCTCAGGCCACCAAGAATAAATTATGCAAGTCTCAAATACAGACCTGCTTTTCCAGGAGAAGCCCAGTCAGCCACCCTAAGGGCCAGCCATGGGAAATTCCCATGGACAGTAAAGCTGATCAGAGAAACACCACCTGAAGCAGAACAGCCCAGGTGGCACCAGCCTCTGTTGGACAGTAGCCTGGGTAATTTAGTGCTTCTTCAGGCCGTCTAGTTGAAGCCCCCCATGGATTTTGCAGCCCCCCCAGGGATGTGGGCATCTCAGGTGAGCTGACTACCCTTTTGTAGGCCACCCTTTCATCTTCAGTGCTAGGAGTGCCTGGCAGGCTGGTGGGACCTGAGGCTTTAGCTAACAGTCCTTAAAGAGCAGCTCAGACCCCAAAAGCACACAAGTGATATTACCTTTAAGGGGATTTTCTCCATATTGCACTGGAACTCCCCTCAAAGAAGCTATTCTACAAATAAAATACTGCCTTAAAACTGCCAAACACAAGCAAAAATATTTCTCCTTACTATTTTCAGAGATGACAGTACAATCCTTTTGGTTAATAACCCCCACCCACCCCACTCCCAAGTCAGCTATAAGTCAACAGACAGCACAAAACCAGTTAGCCCCAGCAGTTACTGAGTTGGGAACACGGATGCTCTCAGCCACCAGCCTTGCAGTACATACATACTCTGCTATGCAGCCAAGTAATTCCAAGTGACAGGACTCCTCCCATCCCCTTAGAACAAAACCATAAACCCAAGCAAATGTTTCAGCAAACACTCAGTGTGAAAGCAGCACCTCAAGTCACATCATATGTATGGCTATTCATTTTATATATTCATATATAATGCTACTCATTTATGGGACAATTACAATTTCTTTCTTTGTACTGAACGATGAAAAATATGTAGTTTACACAAACTTGGTGATTTGCTTTCATTCCCTGTGGAAGCTTTTGACTTATCCTACAATTTAGTGACTCCCAGGTTCACTGAATACCTAAAGGTTTATTAATAAAGTGCCAAAAAACACGAAAGGAGAAACTAAATTTATTTAAGGAAAAAGATAAATATTTGTTACTGAATTTTATCATAATACAGATAGATGTCTGACCCTTGTTAATCTGGAGAAAATTGGCTGATCATAGAAATCCGACTCTTCTTCCAGCTACTTTGTTATCTTAAAGGGTGTAAAAATACATCTCTTCCCCTAACTTTTTCTTCTCCTAAACTGCTGAAGAAATTAGGAGATTTTTTTTCTAAAATACAGAGAGTCATTTATATTACCAGCTGTTCAGCTGATTCAGTTATCCATCAGAGAGACATGATCAAATTCAGATTTAAAAAGAGGACACAAAAAAGAATCACACTTTCGAATAATTTTGCCTGAACAGCCATCATCAACGTTCAGCTTTTAAAATGCAAAGGCCGTTTCTATTGTAGAAACACAGAACTAGACACAGCAAATCAGTCCAGCTGTCTATCATGTCTGGTATTCTGCCTCCAAGCACTGCCTTGCTTCCTAAAGAGGAATAAGAAACAGTCTTGTTGCAATTAGCTTACTGCACGATGCATTACACAGAAGAAAATCCTGATCTTGCATATAAGAAAACGCTTCCTTAGCATAAACAAAGATAAGTGTAATTTATCATCCTTCACGATAGAACATTAGAGTACTTTTGCAAATATACAGCATAATTCGTTAAACATTTCAAGCAGGTGCCACTCTTATTCAGCATACTGGTACAATATACAGGTCTTATAGGTCCAAAGGTCTATGAAGTCCACAGGTTTCTGACAGATCAGCAAAACCCTGGCACCTTGCCCACTCCAACATATGAGATCTCTTTCTCAAAGAACTGGAAGAGAGCAACCTGAGCCAGACATCAAGTTTTCCCCTACAGAAGATTCTTCCCTTCTCCCTACTTCTCTCCAAGTGACAATGTGAATCCATCACATGAACACTGAAACCACAACAAAAACATGCACAGTGCAGGATCAAATCCAAAGCAAACAAGCATCTGCTCAGGTATGGGAAGAGACCATATCCAGTTGATGACCGAAACCAAGAGGTAAGTTACCACTATCAGTTTCTGTCCTCATCAAAACATTACATTCAAATGCACTCAGCTACACTTGATAATGCTTTGAAGTGTCTAGTGGCTAGTGATAAACCAGATAGAATTCACTTAACAGATCACCTCTGGGTGGAGAGTAAGGTTGGCACAGACTTAATTTTTTGCTGGAAGAATATTGTTATTCTCAGCAGAACCAGAACAACTTTGAGCAGCTGCTTCTAGAACCTTTTCTTAAGATGTACATAAGATGTCATGAACTCTCTAAAATGAAGTTATCTTATCCTTTACAAACATCTGCCTTTCTAAGTGACTGCAAAAGGACAATTTACCCTATCCTTCCCAATGTTTCGTTTCATTCTTTTTTCATTTACATGCAAGTATTTTTTACTTGCCTTCAAATTACTTGTCATTCTCACAGTCTCTCCTATTTCTCTTCTGTCATATCTCCACTTTATGTCATATTCATTTTCAAGCAACAGTCTACCTCACACTACTCCACAAAGCACTCCTTCAGGATATACTTTGCTAAACCATTTCAACTCTACCGCTGCGAGAACATCACTGTGTGTTTCTGCCATTACTAGTCTGTGGTGCATAATCCAGACACAAAGACCCAATCTGGGCTATTTCATCCTACAGTACGGGAGGAAAGATGTGCCAACTGGGACAGCAAAAGCAACATGGTCCCTATTAATGATGTGCTACAAGCAAGCTCTCTGCCTCCGGGCTAAGCAGTTCAAGTCCAGCTCAAGGTTCAAGCCTAGGCAACGCGGTTCAAGTACCAGGAGGGCAGACCTAAACTTCTTCTCATTTCTCAAGCTGGCTCAGGCATCGCTGCTGCATGCTCCACCCTGAAGGGCAGACACTACCAATGCTTCTTTCCTAGTAACATTCACTGGTCCCAACTTCTATTCTATTTATGTCTGTAGAATCACATTTGACAAGAGAAGAAAATACCCCTCCAAGGGTATATGGTTGGGTAGGGGAAAACTAGCATTCTTGGTGGGTTTTCCTTTCTTTTTTTTTTCAAAGCTACGAGTATATCTGTCCTTCCCTCATGCACCAGAGGATGGAAACACCAGATACTTTACCCTTCCACTATACTCTAGCCTTTTCCCACACTTTTTTTTGTTTTGGTTTGTTTGTTTGTTTTGGGTTTTTTTTGGTTTTTTTTTTTTTGTTTTGTTTTTTGGGGTTTGGTTTGTTTGTTTGTTTGTTTTTTTAACATTCAACCAGAAAAACCACTGACACTGTAATTTGCACTGGGCCTGATACTAACAAAACTGTAAAGAAAACATAACAGAAGAGAGTCTATGACAGTAATGGCACATTAATTTCTGTGAAGAATTAGAATAAAGTTTGTGACATATCAAACGTAATTTTTCAAAGCTGTCTTCCCTTCTGTGTAATCTCATGCCATTTAAATGGATTACACTTTGATAAAACCCAGCAAGTGACCATGTGATTTTTTAAAAACTCTGATTAAAATCTGACAGTAGCTAAGCAAAGGCATTCCATTCTGGCTAACCACTATTCTTTTCATTGCAAGGGAACTCTCAAAATGAAGTCTTCAAATCTCTCTACTGTGAGAGACAGAAGCAGCAATGTAAGAGACAAGGCTCCACTTACACCTTCAGCCCTCCCTGCTCCCTTTTATGTAAGGAAAAAAAAAAAACTCAACAAGGCCACACTGTCAAATATTTAACAAGTTTACATAGTATAAATCTTTTGCCCTCTGTTATGTGTAACAGTAGGGCAGGATGAAAATGAAGTCCTCTCATTTCAAAGTACTTCCTGACCAGTGATCAAAGAACACTAAAAAAAGGCAAGATGTTACAGGGTTTAAAAAGGAAAATTAAAGCATTGGGACAGATACCTGAAAAGAAACCACTACCTACTTTTAAAATTCTATTTCTAAGTTTGATCAAAGTACCACAATTTCAAACCAATTCTCATTTTCCCTTTGCGGTGGGGAGGCAAGTGGGAACAGAAAAGAATAAACACACACTCAAAAGCAAAATAAAACCCACTTTTTCGTCTCAAACAAATTTACTCCCCCAAAAATGCAGAGTAATTGTCCAGCCAAAGAAAACCAAATGCTGTGCTTCGCTCAGTAATCTCAGTATCTGTCCTATAAGCATTCACAGCTCACCTCATACATGTATTAGCATTCTGTGCTAACACTAATCATTCTGGCACAGTTTAAGGGAACAAGTGATAATGTAGTAAACATGGGCACAGCTTTGGGATGTTTTAGCAACTCTGAGATATCTTATCATGTAACATGCTCTGCTTGTCCCATATATGTAACATATTTTATTTCTCTTCTAACGTCTTTAAGAAAGCAATGTGGGTAAATGCAGTTCCCATTACTAAGCAGCTCTTTCTTCCTTTCCTTGAATATCTAACTTCAGAGCAACTGTACAAGCTAAGATTACAAATATACAGTTATCTGAGATCAGAGAATTTTAATAAATCCATTTATCTAAACATCTAATGCCTATGAATCTTGTAAGAATTAAAACAAAACCCCCACACACGTAAAGAACTTCTTTCCTTTCTCCTGCTACTCAGTTTGCCAAAGCCAGGTTCCAGCAGACTGACAGAGTTTATTTAAATGAAACCCACCATTTCCCAGGAGCTCTCCAAATAAAGCATCATCAAAAATTATAACAGACAGTGTTGCCTGTACAAAACTTCTAACTGCTTGCAGTATTTTCAGCCACATTTGAGAGAAGGGTGGAGTCATCCTGTCAACATCAGAACATTTTACAGAGTATTTTGAAAACTGATTAGATGTCCAGGATGAACATTTTGTTCATAAAGAGATATTAATCAAGAGCAAGTATTTCAAAAGATCCATCTTTTCTAAATGAATTCATTGTAATGCTGACAGAAAACACATTTTGAATTTGAGCTTGCAAGACAGCAAGTTCTAACTTGTTTTAAAATATAACAGGAAAAAAAAAAGCCCATTTGTATTTCAACTTTATGCTTAAAGCATGAAGGCACTTAAAATATTTCTGAATTAGGAAAATCTTGAAGTAAGGTACACATAGTTGCCAGGAAGTCAAGAAAAATGGACATTGAAAGACTATCAACTCAAGAAATGTCAACCAGTCTAATGAACACTAGTAAAAAAGAACTAGTGTACAGGAGTGCAACAGAGACTTATCAACCGACACACACAAGCAAGATGAAACTTCTCATGAACATTCACCAGAGCCATTCATATAACTTCAGAGCTCTGTGGTAAATGGCACATTTTTGTTTCAACAAGGACAGCAGATGAAAGGAAGTTCAACCTGAGGACACATTGGCAGTGTTGATACAGAAGGGAGGAGAACTACAGAAAAGCCCCCTCTCTAGCACCCTCAACAATACCCACAAAGCAGAAATCAGCTGAGAACAGAAATGTTCATAACAAAACTTTGTGGAAATAATCTTGAAAATAAAAAATAAAAAAAACAAAAACAAAAAAAAACCCAACAAAACAAAACAACAAAACAAAAGCAGCAAAATGAGAACAATGAACTTCAAGTAAGAAGAATTCAGTAAACTGAAGGATTCTCACTAGTGACAATGTAAGGAGAAAAGGCTCACAAGAATGACAAGTCTGTGAAAAGTCTGGGGCATCTCAAAGGAAGAACAGGAAAAGTAGACACAAATGGACATGATCAAATATCACAAATACTACAGTGACCTCAAACAGACAAAAAGAAGCAAAAGTAACTAGGAAAAGTCAGGTCACCCATTGAAATACAACTAATGTGGACATAAGGGTAGCAGGAACAAAGCATTCCACAGCATACATACATCAAGGCAGAATGCTGATCTGCAACTCAGAGAAGAATTATTAACAGACATCAAGAAGCTCTTAATATGCCATGCTTCCTTCTACCACCTTCTCGTCCTCATTATAAAAAGGTTATCTTCAGACAATTCAAATACATACCTACAGAGGCATAAAAGCAGGTTAAAATAGTATTTAGATAAATTAAACAGTACCTGCTGTGCTGATTTGGCAGTAAGAGAACTAGCTACATCCATGTTTGAAACCACAGAGGACAAGAGAAGTTCCATAAAGTACTGGAAAATGCCACACATAAAAATTGTCTTTAAAAAGGAGAATAGAGAAAACTAGAGCTACAGGTCAGTTATTTTAACTTTGGAGTAGTCAGTAAATGCACAGAAAACAAAGCAATGACCTCAACTTCCTGAGAAAGAGAAAAGTGCAGGCACATATTCCCTTCCATAGAAGCAACTGACCGTATGAGAGAGCTCTCCAAGAGTGCACAAGTCTTGCAGAAGCCAGAAGGAGCAAGCCCTTGTAGCACAGGGAACATGCCTGTACAGCAGAGGGAAAAGAACAGCTTAGCAGAAACCTTTTCTGATGGTGAAAAGAGAAAGTTAAACCAGGGCCTGGAAGCAGTTCATCTCAGTCCCCAGGAATTGGACAGGGTCGCAAGGACTGTCAAGAATCCAAGTGTACTTGGTAGTACCATGGCCCCACAGCTTGTTGACTTTCCTACTTAGCAAAGTTACATCACCCAATTGAAGTATTCGTAAAAAAAAATTTAAAAAAGAACTTTATTTTCAGTTGCTGGCAACTTTTGGATCTCGTATGTTCACTGTTAAAAGCTACTTCTGTTCTGGATCCTAACTGCTGACCCAGGTTCCAGTTTCAGGAGTTGGAAGAGATCAAAACTGATGACATCCAAACAAGACCTCCATAGCCATGTTTTAAATGAGTAATGATGGGACAAGAGAGTCGTCATGGCTGAAAGAGACTGCTACAACACTACAGACATGAAAAAACAGGCTTCAGCAATCGTTTCTCAGGATAGATCACATCTGAGAGATCTCTGAAGAACATTAAAGCTAAGTCTTACGTCATGACTATGCCTAAAAGGATCCACTTGAAAATGACATTGAAGTTCTAGAGTCCTAGATCTGTCATCCTGCAAAAAGACTGTAGATAGCAAATCAAGGAACAAAATCAGATGATGCAACTGGAGGAAAAAGAATATGTTTAAAAATGGAGTTTTACCCTCACAACTTCACTTTGCAATCACACATCTCTACAGTTGTCTGAGAAAAAAAAAAAAAAATGTGCTTTCATTGGAGCTCTGACAAGGAAAAGAATGGTAAAGCCTCTCAGAGGGTCCCTGTGTAGTTTTATTCTATCGGGTTTATCCCTAATCTCTGAAAGTAAGCATAAACAGGAAAGAGACCAAGAAAAAAAAACAGATGATGTCACCTACAATAAGGTCCAGTGGATTAAAAAGCAATGTTAGTTCTAAAATTCAATCATGAAGATGGTATTTACAAAAGGCACTTTCACACTGTCTGAAGTTCAAAATAAAACTTCAGTGGAAGAGCGAAGCCTATATGAAGAAAAGCTGAAGGCACATGAACAATAAAGAAAAAGAAAAAAATCACAAATATATTATCTTTCAAAAACTGCCTCTAACTTTTAGTAGATTTCGGTAGAATTGGGGATTTTTCCTGTAGTTTGCTCCTAAGTGATGGGAGATGTTTATAGATTCTTTTGGTGTAGTTTTTTGGTTGGTTTTGGGAGGGCTGTTTTGGTTTGGGTTTTGGTTTTGCTATTTTTAGAAGTTTGCAGGAAATCTCTCAGTATTTAAACTCAATTTAAATCCTGAGCATTAATGACTGCTGTGAATCAAGTTCAGTAAATACAGTCAAGCTTAAACAAAAGGCATTACAATTTTTAATGAACTAACAACCTCTACCCAAAGCAAGAATTTGTGCAAATATGCTCTCCTTCAAAACTCACCATTTGATTTTATTTCTCGTACATAGTTACTTGGAAACCATCCTGTTTTGCCATTTAGAGTTCCTTCCCACCAGCCTCCTTCTTCCACTCTTGTCACATGAATAATATCTCCTTTTGAAAAAGAAAGTTCATCTTCATTTGTCTGTTGAAAATTAAATTTTGCTCTCACCACCAACTGATGGTTGCTGTTATCTGTCATGTCCTAGTAAGTGAGAATACAAGGAAGAAAAAGATCATATTAGAGATTTCAACAATTATTCCATGAACAAAACAGAAGTATCCATAAAATGTAAACAGCCAGTCCTTCACACACAACACCCCCCCACATTTTTACTCTAAACATCTGTAAGGGATGATTTACCACTTCCAGTATTTCTGTCATTTTTAATCTATGGATTTGTATCAGACCAGGAAGTATGCTGTCTTATTACAGCCCCTTCAAATTAGAAGGTGGTAACAGAGTTAAAATAAGAGTAATTCTTACTCCCCCCAAAAAGTTAAACTCTCTTTTCTATATATAGTATAAATTCAAACTGCCTTTGACAACTACAAAGAAACAGCAGCTTTGCATTACAGAGGTTTTTTCCAAAACTTTCCAGGCTGGGAGGAGGACCGAACTGAGTTGGGTTTGATTTAATTCTGGATATAAATAAAGGGTTTGCAGCTTAATTTTTTTTTTTTTTTTTTCCTGTAACAGATGAGGTTAGAAGGTTCCACACCTGAATGTGCAAGTCTCCATGGCCTGGCAGTGGAGAAGGGGAGTGTTCTTTCACAAAACCTATGAAACAGTTATGCAATTTACCTCGAGTAAGTCCTCACAAATCACTTGCTTCAAGGTTGGCAAAGCTGCAAGTCTGCAGCATGTCAGCATAAATATATATATACACACACACACACGCCCATTCCCTGTCACAGATCTGAAGGCAGATTATCACTCTATCCTAATAACTAAATGTTAATAGCTACTTCTAAGAAGTCTTTCAAATTAATGATATTCAAATTCAGCATTTTGTTCTTGGATGTAATTTTTGAATATCTGCATCATTCAAGCATTTCAGAAGAGTTAGGACAAACTTTCATGCTAAAAAAAGCTAGTTGGACAGCTTCAAATAATCCAAATACAATTGATTGTACTGGAACCAAGAGAACAGGACTACAAACCACATCTGTCTCTATCATAAGTAAGGATCAATACCTGTATAACTAAGCAAGTAACTTACAGAGAAAATGACTGTGTGAGTGATCCTAGTCAGTTATCAAGGTTAGCAAAATTTCACCTACACGCTGTCTATACAGTTGAGATGATTAAAAGATGCACTGCATAATGCCACTGCGATCTTATAGCATGTCAGCTTAATCGATATCCACAGCAATCATGTTATTGTATCACAACTCAATCAGACAATCAGACTTTTAGTGGCTGAGAAACTGTAGGAAAATGAGAGCAAACACAACTTTGTAAACATGCAGAAAGCCCCAAGATGCTGTAAAGACACAATGTTCAACAATTAGATTGGCGTATTTTCAAACAAGTGTCTCTGCCTCCGTCCTCTGCTTGTACATCTTCTGCTTTCATCTGCTATCACTGCTCAACAAGTGAAAAAGTTTTGCCCTAGCAATCTGTAAAAAGCCATAAAATAAGCAGCAACATTGCATAGTGACATCAACTACAGTCCCTTTACTCTCCAGTAGAGGAAACCAAGTACAAATCTGGTGAGAACAGTTTCAAACTGACCCTCTACAACAGCAAAACCAAACTAAATTTCCCACGTTTGGTCACTACCTCTCTCTCCCTCCTTCTTGCATTTCTCTTCCTCTTTGCAACTTTCTGCAGAGCTGCTCAGATCACCAAAGTGATAGAAATACTTCAAACTGGTTACATCAGTGATCCAGCTAACAACTAGTCCCACAAACAGTCCCATCAGCAAAACTGAGTGGGAGGTGAATGGCAGAGTGGGAGCTGGAATTAGTGGCCTAGGGCAAGAACTTGCTTGGGCTCTGCTACCAGAAAAAACACATCAAACCACACCTAAGAAAGCTTAAGCACAGCACTGTGTTTCCAGTTTCACATAGCAATCATCACGTAAGTTTAAAGCAGCCTCCTTCAAGCATGGAAAAAGCAGTTTACAGTAGGGATCTGAACCCTCCTTGCAAACCTTTTGGTCACTAAAAGCACCTTTCATCACAGTTAGTGTCAATACAGTACTCCATCCTGATTTCAGCTGTACTGTAAAACAACTGCCTACACCACTCAGTTTCCTGAAGGCTAGTTGAAGGATTCACCTTGAAACATAACAGAAAACAGAAATAACTACCAATACTGCCGACATTAAAAGCACCACCTCTGCTGAAGTTTGAATATCCTTCAATCATCATTCCTAAACTCAGAGACATGGAAAACATCAGATTTCTGCCTTTTCAGTACAAAGACTTGCTTTTCCAAAGTAATAAATAAATCCAGGAAGATACTGTGTACATAGACAACTCGGAGTGGTGAGGGATAAAAATAATTAGAAGTACACAGAAAGCTGCATGTATTTTGGAACATTGTAAGAGAAGTTGCAAAAATAGAATGTCATGGTCTTGAAATACAGAGGTGAGAGGTAACAGTTACTTTGCTACATTATTGTTTACTTATAAATCTTGTCAGAAGACAAAACAGAAGAAAAAAAAAAAAAGTATCACACTGCAGCATGTTTTAGTTCTTCTAGAACTTACCAAACTTCGATACTGTCCCTGAAAGAGTTTTGAAGTTCTACTGTGCAAAGACTGTGATCCCAGAGAATCGAAAGATTTTATCCGATGAGATGAGGGACGTGTGCATACAGAGTCACTGCCCAGCCCTATGTCTGCAGCAGGAGAGGAAAAAAAAAAGTAAACATTAGAATTTGAGAAATCTATATATAACTTCTGCTTTCCTCTGTGAAATTCACATGCTTAAAGCAGATTTGATGTATCTTGCAGTGGCTCGATAATTCAAGATTTTAAAAATTATAGTAATAATCAATCTGAAATCCTGAGACACTGGCAGTTTCTTCACCGTACAGACAGGAAAACAATTTGAGCTGTTTAAGAAGAGGGTTAGGGTTGTGTTTCTCCCTTCCTACTCACCATCGATCTATTTAAAGGTAATTAACCAGCATCATTTTAGCTAGTGTCCAAGAATTTTGAATGCATAAAACTTGCTTGAAGTAAAGCCAGCCACATCTGTTTCTTTGCTCTTCCCCTCCACCACCACCATCTTCTTCTCAATTAAAACATTCCTTCCACTGTCTTTTTTTCCCCTACATTCCTTTGTCTCATCCCTTTTTTGCCAACTAAGCTATTTCTTCTTCTCTGGAAGGAGGGGGAGGGATAGAAGGAGTAGAAAGGAAGCAATCTGCTTGCTCAAAAAAACAACGCCCTCCCAAAGCCACTCCCAATCTTTCATTTGTCTCTACTGGAAGAAGCCCACCCATTTGAGATGTCCACCCAAAGGGCAGTGTTACGGGCTGTCTGGGTGCCACCGGGCTCCCCCAGGCTGGGAGCCACCAAGGGAGCAGCAGGGCAGGGGCTCATCCCATCGCCCCAGCCAGGAGCGGGGCAGCCAGGGCACCCCCAGCCCTGGGCATCAGGGACCTCGGCCCACCCACGGGTGGGGTGTCCTGGTGAGGACTAGCAGACCACTGCCAGACAGAGGCCAAGCTGCACCAAAAGTGACTCCTAAGGGCCAGGGTCAGTGCTGGCCGCAGTCTCTCCCCAGTGTCCGAGTGGGATGGGGGCTTCTCCTGGCTCCACCAGTTCTCCCAGTCCCCGCTGCCAAAGTCCCAGGAGGGGGATGCTCCCACGGCCCTTGCACAGATGACACATTACAACAGGCAAACACTGCTCCTTTGCACAAGTATGGCAAGTCATTCCTTTTCCTCATGTTTTCCAACATACAAGGAAATCATTTAGCAAGCATCCGAGCTTCAAGGAGCCCTGAAAGCAATGCAATACTTTCTGTCTCAAACTTAGATGTTTTCACTAGACTACACAAGCCTCCCAACTGCTCTGCTGGTTTTTATGTCTCTTAATTCTTTCCTAGTAGTTTGCTTTGCTTCCAACACTTGACCTCTGCATCAGAGGTACACGCACACAACTACAGTCTCCTATTAGTTACTATCAGATTAAAGCAGACCATGACCGTGCAAATACAAGTTATTTTTGGTCCAAGGGAAAGGAGACATACAGGCTCGGTTCTACAATGACACTGGTGAACAAGGCATTTCTGCTGTTCCACGTCAAACCTGAAGGGACAACTCAATTCATCTTAATTGGAAAGCCTTTCAACTACAGCATGGCATCCAACAGCAGCTGGCATGCAGGAGGAGGGAAAGGGTTTGAGATTGACAACAAGCACAGAAGCACTGACAAAGGATGCTCCAAGTCCACAGAGACTGAGTGGAAAACACCTTCCTCAGGCACATCATTATAAACGAATCACTGTCACCCTTTGAAAATCATTATCCTTAAAAAAACAATCTATAAACATACAAGTCCTAGTCAGTGCAATATTAGAACCATCCATATTACATTGCATACTTTGTATTGATAGTATCATTACACACTGAAGTCATAAAAGACCTCAGGCTTTGTGAGCCTACTTTCCTAAAAACATTTAAAGGCCACTGTATTAATATAAATACTGGTGATTATAGTCTATTATAGAAAGGATATACTTCACTGTTTTCAGACTGCTGGGAGAGAAATGGGACTAGATCATGGGTTTTGTTTGTAAACTGTAACTTTATAGCTATTTCTAATGATCCCAAAAACTTTAAAGTTGTCATAACCATGAGTAACTAATAGAACTAAAGGATTAAAAGTCACCTGACACATCCCCACATCCAGTTTACTATGCTTCTTAACTGCAATCAAGTAGAAGAACAGACACACCACCAAATCCAGCATTACACCTTGGCACAGTTCACCTAGGAAAACAGGATCAGGTTGACTGATGGCAGTGTGTTCCAGCCTCTGGGCAATCCTAAAACACATTATCTAGAATTTGTTTAAGTGTGGCCTGATTCCCAAAATCTTCTATTTTCCAACAGCAGAGTTCATACATCAGCACAAGAGCACCTTTCGAAGCTTGAATTAGAAACTGCACATTTGAGCTGAAAAGAAGGAAAACTATTACAAACAAACCACATGCAAACTGCAAGTATTTTTACCAATAATATCTAAATCAATTTACCAATAATTTCAAATCAATTTGAACTTTTGATAGATATAAAAGGCTTGCAGACCCCACGTATCCATTAGTTTCCATTAAAATACCAAATAAACAGCTTCAACTACTTTCTGAATGGGATTATTGTCAGAAAAGATTCAACGGTGCTGCTGAAAACTCAAGAATTTTGAATGGCAACAGAATGTGCATGATTGACAAATATTCATTTAGTAATTTTCTCAGAATCTTTACTCTTCCATCCATCCAAAGATTTCCAGGGTCTGTAACACCCTTTCTTCTTCTCTACCATTATCTCAACTTCTCTATACCAGTTCCTCTTCACTTATCTGTCTACAAACAGCAACTGGTACCTTGATCCCATCCCTCCTGAACTTAAGAATTTTATGAAGTGTACATTCATAGCAGGCTTTCATCAGTTTTCATGCTCACTACTCACAAGCCTTCCATTGTGGAAAGGCCCATCTCAGAAGAACCTGTGTATACCCAAAATTCTGGCAGACCCAGATGGGGACCTGAAAACCATCTTCCAATACTAGAGTAGGGAGATAGTCTAAAATGCCTTTTATAGAGTCATCCACTTAAAAAAAAGAAAAAAAAATGTTTGAAAGGACTGTTGGTCAGGAAGACTTATGCAGCTCTGCTTGCTCCCAGGAATGGGGCAACACCACAGTTTGCATGTGGTTTTAATTTTTGGTTTCCATACCACCACCACCATCACCACCCAACCCACCCCCACCAATGAAAAGGATCAGCCCGGGTTCTTTCTAAGCCAGCTGCAGTTGTGGCTTTTTGATATTGGTATTATTTATTGATGTCTGGACCAAACAGCTGCACTAATTCTCCTCTTTAAAAGACAGCTATGGTCAGTGTGCAGCAGCTTTAAAGATGTACTGAAATGGTCCACATGTGCACTTGTAGTGAAGATGAAAGGCAGTATCTTCAACTAGTGTAAGTAGCTTCAAAAACGACAATGGTACTACACTATGCCCATTCATTAGAACCAAGAATTTGGTGGCAGAACTCACTCCTAAGGGGTGTCTTCTGATGGAAGAAATAAAAAAGCCACAAAAAAAAAAAATCTCTGTTGTAATGGACCAGGAGCATTATAAAAGTGACAAGATCCTTATCATATTACTATTTAACAAAATAACTCTGATCTACCACTTACTTCTCTATCAGCTTCCTTCTCCTCCTCACATAAAAACTGACAAGTATGGTCCATTTTTAAATAATCTGTATCTCACCAGTCTCTAACCTGGTGACCATTACCGGAACTCACCACTGACAGTGTAAAGCCCAGCATGAAGTAGCAAGAAGCCAAAAAGGGCCACCAATGGTAACACTTCTCAGTTGTCCTTGGGTCCAGTTGGGATCGTGTAGCACACCCTCGCCCTACAATGAAGCACGGACACCTCCCATCTATGTGGTATTTCTAGAGCTCTCTCCCTCCCACCAAAGAACTTGAGGTGGGTGGTTTGTGACTTCCAGCTGCTATCTAAATGAAACATGCATGGCTTAAGGGATCAAAGATGTTGGCTATCATTTTGTTACTGTCAAGAAAGGATGGTGCTGGAGAATGGAGAGTGGGGAGGAAATGACAAAAATCTTGACAAAACTGTTAAAACATGGGAATGAGAGCAAAAGTCAATTTTAGTAGTTCAAACTGGGGAAAAAATAAAAACAACCAAAAAAACTCCAGACCCTTTGTCTAAGGATACTTGCTAGCTAAAAGGCTCAGCCTTAGCTCCACTGCAAAGCTTCCTTCTGCAGAAGAGGAGACTAGAGAACCCACAGAGGCCACTGCCAAAGTCTTAACTCATGAACTACAACAAAAACTCTTCTAAAATGCTGCACATGTTCGTCTTATCATGTGTATAGCAACAGGTATAAATACACATTAATGAAAGTTGAAGGTAATTGTAAGCGAGCACCAAGACAGCCGACTTACCTGCAGTCACCTTATTTAAAGCCACAAGAGAGCTGAGAACTTTGCTGAAATTCTGTCCCTGATACAGGTCATTTGCATCAAAAGTCTGAAAACAAAAGAACATGCAGTAAGTTGTAGAAACAAGCCTCTAAACTAAGCATTTCTGTGCTATCATGCACAGTGGCTGTTATGGACCAGTAAAACTGTGGAGGTTTGGTTTTTTTTTTTTGTTTGGTGGTGGTGGGTTTTGTGTGCTTTTTTTGTTGTTGTTTTTGTCTGTTTCTTTCTTAAAAAAAAGCCCACAACTTATTTTTAAATAGAGAATATAGAAGTAGCTGCCTTTGAGAAACACTGAAAAACATATACGCTAAAAATACCAAGTGTCATTTAAATTACAGTGAAGTTGAATAAAATGTAATTATCAGAAGAGAGAAGCTTTCCTCAGATATTTTGGCCAAAAAAGTTACTGGGTATTACTCTCGGCATACCCTTCTTTTTCTGTAGCAGCTGACAGGCACTGTACCTGATTATTCATAAAGTACTTTTAAAATTATTACAAATACTTTTAAAAGTACTACAATAACATACCCACCAGTTTTTGATTCTACAAATAAAGCAGTATCCCTGAAAATTAATGAATTTTACAAGAGTGAAGCTGCTCAACAGGTTAGATGAGGAATGAGGTTTGGGAAGGGGAAGGTTGAAAGCTGAGGTTTGTTTTATTTTTATTTTTTAACTGTGGGAAAGAGATCCAAACCTCAAACTATCCTGTAGAAAACAGTAACTTTCAAGCACTGGGTGATGACATTAAACATCTGGGTTTTCAGAGGGAAAAGAGAAGATTAAAAAAAAAAAAAAAAGCCCATAATATTTTGCCTGAGGTAATGGAAACACTCATCCAAAGTCTCATGAAAATAGCTCTTGTAATAGATTCCGCATAGGTTCAAAGGAGTCACAGTATTCCCTTGTGCAAGACCAGAAAGAGGACAATAAAAGACAGCTATTACAGTTGTTCCAACTGATTTAAGAAACAGAAAGAGATTTAGTTTCCTGCCACATAGCAGTTTTTATCTAAAAAGTCAACAAAAATCTGTTTATTTTCCTGGTAACAGACCCATCCCACAGGCACTATTGTAAATTCTGTACCCCAGAAACAAGCCTTTGAGGCAGGAGAGGAAAAAAAAAAAAATCTTCTGAGGGAGGAAGAGAAAGGGCCAAAAGAAGGCTAGCTGACCCCAAGAGAAGTGAAAATTTTCATGAAAGCTACCTAAAGTCACCACAGAAGGGGCTGCCAGAGCAGTTATGACTGGTTATGTAACATACTGACAAAGGTAGAGCACGTTTAGGAAACATTTAATGACAGTATTATTCAGTATGAAAAAAATTCTCCCGAAGCATTCACGGTATTTGAGGTACTCACGTATGTGAACACACACATTTTTTCCCCCTCAGAGACAGAGGATCATCTCCGGCTCCACCTCAGCTGTACAGCTGCTGAGCTCAAGCTCAGGTAGTGTGCATACAGCTCAGCAGAGTAGTGCCACAAAACAGTCACAGAATCGAGCAGAGGCAAACACTAATACACTCCAAGCAGTTGTCACTCACGTAAAATAAGTCAAATAACTATTTCATCGGTTTCACTGGCCTACAGGTAACTTAAAGACTACTTGTACTTATTTGAAGCTGGAAGGAGTAAGGAGAGGGACCAGGGAAATTGTCTAGATGTGAATTTTGTAGGGTTTTTCCTGAAACACAAGGAAGTATTTAAAGACTATGTATGCAGAAAAGACATTAAGCAAATAAGAAATACTGCGATTTTATGAAGAAAGATATGTTAAGTTTTATCGATAGCATAATGTATAATAAATAGAGAACAGACGCCGATAAGGTGACAGCAGAATACACAAAACCTGGCTTAAACACAAAACCAGACTGGAGGTCAGCCTAACCACTGCTCAAACCAGGGGAAAAATTTAAGCTGTTGTGGAAGAAGAAAGCATCAGGGGTATAAAATTTTCATTGTTAATTACATGCTTACTGGGGCAGTTTTTAAACAAGTAAACTAAAAGTATGACGAAAAACACAAAACCATGGCCCTGATCCTAAAAAACAGAAATATATGAGACACAGGAGCTTGTGCAGACACTAGAGCTGGATCAGAAAGGTATTGCAGGGGAGAGAGAGAATGATTAAAGAAAGGAATATTTAAGAGAAGGGTTATCAAATATAGCTTAAACTCACTCACAGAAACTTAAAAAAAAAAAAAAAAAATCCTAAATCCATTTTAAGCTCACCTTCATTCTGGATTCTGATAGAGTCAAGAGCTCTCCAAAGTCAGGCTAACTGGAGAACAACAGGACGTGAGGAAGCCTCGTTTCCTGCTATGCTGAGACTATAGGGGATACCAAGAACAATTTGATTGGATCATCCCAACATGTATAGTGCCATAAAAAAGCCTGTATCCAGGACACACATCCAGTCTGCTACTTCACAGGAAACAACACAATGGGAGGATATGAGAAACATTTGCTTCCTTGCGATTTTACATAAAGCAATTCTGACAGGAAGCCACCCTCAGCACACTCATGGCCAGTTTGCTCATTAGTAGTATTTGATTAAAAAAAAAAAAAAAAAAAACCACCCACAAGAAAAAACACACCACCAACAAAAAAAACCTACTAAGTCACACAGCAAAAAACCCCCACAACTCACACCGTTCTACCTTAGTGGAGGTCTGCTCATTCCACAGTGTATTTGAAAACTATTGACATGAGGAAAACAAGATGCTTTAAAAGGAGCTTTCATGGGATTGCCAGAGAAAACAGTCTGCTCCAGGTTTTCAAGAGAAGTCCAACTTGCGTGTGGGCTATGATCTTCATTCTGATATTTATGGACAGATCAGCTGCAACAACTGACTATAAAAACATCCTATCTTGATGTGAGAGTCATTCAGTGACTTCCTTAGTTGTCACTGGATGACAAACATCCCCCCATACAACACCCCCGATTCGGCACGAATTGAAGCTGAATTTTGAGATCCAGATATCAAGCAAAATAATTTTTACATTCCAAACTATTGCCAAATAACAAGGTCTGCATGCTAAATTACACTAGATTATACTAGCATAACCCACTTTTCCAATCATCAGAAGCACAACATGAATTCAAACCTGCACATGCTTACAGCTCTTAAAACCTAAAAATGCAAACACTTAAAGGTAGTACCTTGGAAATACTAAGATTTGTCTTTTAAACATTATGTGACAGGCATATGTAAACATTAAACAAGGCTTTATGGAACAATATTTCCGATATGCCCTTGCTTTCCAGGAAGACATTTTTAACTCTGCAGAGACTCTACCCAGGATGAAGTTTACCCGCTGTGTTCACCCAATCTTCCAACAAGACGGTCAGATAAAACATTAGCCAGGATCCAAGTATAAAAGCATCATGAATCACACCAGATGAGGAATCAGCCAAGACAAACCTTTTGAATAAACTATTTAAATTACATACTTTTGTTTTTAAATTCCACAGAATTGACCACATGCAGATATGCCTTATATGAGCATTAACATAAAGCACACCTATTGAAGACAGAGCAGGACTGTATTAGGAGCCTTACACTGGAAACACTTTGCAGTTTATACTTAGCTGAGAATCACTGAACTTCAAGCTTAGCAGGCTCGTTCCCCTATGCCTCTTACTATCTGCTTGTTTTCCTGGGTTTTAACATCCTTCTCACATTCTTCTGTTCTCTCTTAGATTTCAAGATCTGCCACACCAATATTCCAGGCAGCCACTGTGTTCTAGCAGTAGACTGGACCAAACTGCCTAATAACAAGGAGTTTTACAGGAGCTATGACACTACACATACACTCAAGAGCATGCTGGCCCTTTCGACCACAGGACACTGAATGCCAAAGCCTACCAAGACCCACAGACTTTGGCTTCCCTTTGCACACCCCCCACCATTTCCAAATATACTAGCCTGGCTTTCCATAACTATGCTTGCATTTTTTGCCCCTAGATTTGAATTGGCTGCAAACTTTATTGATAGCAATTTTATGACCTCTTCCAGGTCATTAATGAAATGTTAAATAAGATGGTTGAGTACCAAAGACAGCAAATCCCCTATAGCAAGGTGCACACTGGATGACCATTCCACATTTGTAATTGTATTAAAGCCTGTTAATAAGCCAGTTTTAAATGCATTTCATGAGCCATATTGATTTTTCCATCACTGACACTCCTTAAACACCAAATGAAATGCCTCTGAGATCCATTTCATCCACATACTGTTCATTCAACTACTACATCTATTGTCTCGTGTTAAAACAAGACTGACCCCTGCTTGCGTCTGCTTAAACTCCATCACTTTCAAAATAGCAACAATAATACATTCAGGTAATTTTAATTCATCTAAATCATTAACTCTTAGTTCATGAAGACTTCTGGTCAAACACTGTTTATGATCTAATAGCAATAAGGAAATAAATCTAACATAACAACGCTCATCCCTCATATATCCCTGCAACAACCAGTAGCTACTGAAATTCAAAAAACATTAACTGAGGAATCAGTGAAAGGAAAACGAAATTAGAAAATAATGTCGAGAATATACCTGGTGAGAGCAGGCCAAGGCACACAGTAAGCCTGCAGCAGCATTCTTCTCTTCAAATCAGCCAGTTTCCAGGCCTCAGGTATCCTTCAGACAATTTTATTCCCCCCCTTCCAGCCCATTAAGTCAGAAGTCAGTTATGGAGGAAACATTTTTAAATTAAGGTATTCCTCCTGATATGGCAAGATCTACAACTGGAGACAAGAAAAAATTGGGGGTGGTTCAGCTATGCTTCCAGACACACTCTTTTTCTTCAAATACGTCTTCTACCAACCTTAACTTGCTTGTATCCTTAAACCACCACATCATCACTAAGTCTGTATATGACGGTCATAGTAAGAAAGGTTCATATACAGGTTAAGAGTAAAATAGAAAGGTTTTTGCTAATAAATATTTCCTTGCTAGGCTAGTGCCTCGAATATACACAGGTACGGTATTCCCAGTGGATATTAACATTTCAGGCATCTGTCTGACAAAAATAGACG